GCGCCGCGAGCCTTTGTGCACTAGTATGAAACACTGCAGCAAGTACACTTCAGTTTACACTAAACTACACTGTTTTACACTGTTAAACACTATTTAACAACATTTTCAATGCACCAATGCAGTACACGCATTATAATTATTTTATTCTAGCTGTAAATGTATAAGTCGACATGATATTATTTCGCACGCCTTTTTTTGGAAGTTGACTAGGCTCAAAATAATGAAAGGAGTAATGTTGACTTTATTTTAATCACACGAGCAACGTCAAGGTACAACTGAAAAGGTTTGCCCTGATTTCTTTTAATATTACATTAAAAATAAACAGAACCTGAATGCTATAACCAGAAGCCAGTATTACAGTTTCCAGAAAACTGAATAAGACTGCTGGCATATGACTATATTACACAGAATTTTTAAAAATTATTTTAATTCAGACTATAATTTCATGTACACATTTACTAACAAATATTAATGATTAATACATCTAAAACATAAATTCTAAAAACCCAAAAGGAAACTCTTAAGGGAAGGCATGGTTTGAAAAATTCAATTTATCTTCTGGGACTACAAACTGAACACTTAACATGCAGTATTAATGAGCTGATTAAATTACTGTCCAAAATGAATAAAAAGCATAATAAATGGCACTCCCAATATTTCCTGTCTAGACTGGCAGGCGAAGAATTGGCATGTTTCATACAGAATATTCTGATTACATGCATAAATAGCTGAGGAAAGTCTTTTTCTGAATAATAAACATTATGGATATTGTTCACTCTTGTCTGTGAGATCAGCATAATAGAATTTTGTTTCTTGCCATTATTTTGCATGTACACAGCCTTTTCTCATCACACTCAGTTCAGACTGCAAGATCCCAATGTTGAGGAAACACTGGCGTGTGTATGTGCATGTGCTGTGTGAGAAAAGTGCATAAGTGTCAGGAATGTGATATGATCTACATGACAAAGACATGGTCTTTAAGAAAGTCTCCCCCATTCTAGAGACTACGATTGTGTCTCAAAACCTAGTGAACTGCCTTCCTAGACAGCATATTGCACATCATAGACTTACGAAGGCCTAGAAATGCTGTTTAGGCTTTGAAACACAGACAATTAGATCATAACCAACTGGAAACCTGTAGTCCCACTGGCATGTCTCTGTTTTCTCAGGGCCCTCAGGACGCCAATCAACAGCCCATGCAGCCCGACAAAACTGGCTGGATTCGCAAGTTCTGTGGCAAAGGAATTTTCAGGGAAATTTGGAAAAGCAGATTTGTTATACTGAAAGGAGAGCAACTCTACATTTCTGAAAGAGAGGTTAGCTTTGGACAAACCTTTTTTTCTCTTAATGCTTTTCTCCACATCTTCATTTGATTGATGAGATGCTACTTGTGTAACATGCTTACAATGATATTCAGTACTGCTTTCAGTGTGAGAAAGTAAGAAATGTGTTCCAGTTGCGTAACGGCATAGATGGGATATGTGACATGCCCTCATCTTTGAAAACCATAACAAAACTAGACAAAGTAAAAGAAAGCACAATCCACACTGCAATATAATAGTACACTTCCAATGCAGATAAACATGTATTAAAATTCAGAAGACATGTAGTTAAGCCAAAAATAAAAATTCTGTCATCATTTACTCATGTCGTGCCTTTCAAAACCCACATGACTTTTTCTTCATTGGAAAGGAGAAGTTTGAGAATGAAAGTAGATGGCAAACAGGGACTGTCAATCTCCAAAAAGGAGATTGCTTCATAAAATATTATAAAAGTACTCATTATTCTTCATTGTATGAAAAAAACTGCAGTTTGGACTTTCGACACAAAAAACCTCAATAAATAAATAAACTATCCGTTTATTATCCTGCTCTGCTCAGGTCAGGCTTGCTGTGGTACACAGAGCTGCGTCTTACAGTGTTAACACCTTTATTCAATTGCAGACATTGTTCTGGAATTAGAGCCGGATGTGCTGAAAGGCCGAACATGATGAGATAAACATGTAAACATTCACTTGGCGGACATTTCCAAGTCCAATGCAACACAAACTGTCAAGCATGTGCCTGACATTGTGGTTCCCTTCACTGCCCAAGTGAAGGTTTAAAGAGAGGTTAAACAAGTTCAGTAAGCATTAAAGAATAGGGAAATAAAGGGCATTTATTCAGGAGCGAGGCTGATTTACTGCAGTGTGGGAGGACGAAGGGAAGGAAAAGCAGGATTGAGGTTGAGTCATGGTCACGCAGAAGACTGTTTGCTGTGCTCAGCATCAGAATGCCGAGGCAGCATATGGGCTCTGGCTCACAGCTCAGAGAGAGGATTGACCCTTTTAGTGCTTAACAGCCTGAGGTTTCATCATACTGTCGTCTAGATGTTTCTCTCCAGCTGCCTAGACAGACAACAGATTTTAATGATCCGATGTTGTTGTTTTGGTATCATGTTTCCTAATAGATGAATGCCAAAATGGTGTATTTCCAATCCCCATATTTATATAGCGGTCTGAAGATCCTAGCTTGAGGGGTATATGTAGTTCTTCAACATACAGTATACACCATCAGGTATCTGGGCTTAAACTTTACAGATTCTTTTTTAAAAGATTTTTTTATACAGTCTTCTAGTTCACTCAAAAATGAAAATGCTGTCATCATTAACTCCCCTTGATATTGTTCCAAACGCACATGACTTTTTCTGCAGAAACACAAAAGGAGAATATTTGAAAAATTGTGCTGACTGCATTTTTTTGTGAATACGAACTAAGGCTTTCAAGCTTCAGCAGTGCCAGAAAAGTATCAAAAAGGATTAATTGTAGACTACTTTCAAAAATGTTCTATGGTAACTAGTTTTTGCCAAAAATACCATAGTTAGCTACAGCAAAATTACTACCTCAACAAAAATAAATGAAACTGACAAAGATTCCATACTAATAAAAAATAGTTTTACAGTAACTTTAGTAACTATGGTTTACCATGCATCTTTAATAAAGAAAATACTTTTTTTGGGGGGGGGGATTTTATGAAGAAAATATCAGTGATACTTGCCTGTGCAACTAACTGCCATGCTACTAGGGAGCTGTAAGTGGTTACAATCAACAAAGAGAAGTCTGTTGTTTCACTGGAAGATCAAGATGTGACATTTTGATTAAGAATTATGTAAAAATACATGCACTGCTGAATTGGTGACACGAAGATCAATAACCTGTGTTAAAAAAATAGATAGGGTGAATTTTCATTTCACACCGCTTTGGGCAAATTATAGTCTCTAAATTCTCTTCACATTGCTCAGGTCCCATTTTTAACGTAAACCTATTTAGTTTTTTGGCACATTTTATCATCTACCAGGTATAAATTGCTTTGGAAAGTATAAGCACACCTCTTCTTAACAAACTGCATACTGCAGTTTGAGCTGTCTGCAGGGTTAAGGGCTAAATTATGAGCAATGGCAATAGCAAGCACCACTAATAACCCACTGGCCATTCATTGTATGTGATTCCGCTTAAATCAAATTGACATAATTGAGTCAGATGATAGTAGACTGAAGGATGGCAGTAAGCTGAGAATGTGTTCTAGAAAAAACTTCCAGAACAGCTCACAGGAGCAGATGTCATGCGAGTGTTGTTCGGGGTCAGATTCCTGGCCGCTGATGTGGCAGATGTAGGGAGAGTCCACAGATAGTAGGAAAACTTTTTCCCACTCACCCAAGACTGTCTTTACATTCACACACTTACTCTGGTACACTGCTCTCTCATGAATGCTTGAATCTAAATTTAATTAGGCGTAGTTTCCGGTCTTTTTTTGTTCCGCTTAGTTACCCTAAATGGCATCTACCAGAACTTCAACATGAAAGTAGAAGAAGATAAGAGCTGTCTGTCTGTGTCGTCTTTTTGTCCTCTCAAGCCCAAATAAGGAAGCTGTGGTCTTCATCTACTTTGAAAGTATCTTAACATTGCTCTTCTGCTTTTTGGAGCCATATGTGAGAAGGCAGACATCGGTCTAATGGCCACAACTTGTTCTATGCTCGATACTTCCTCTTTACGATGTTCTTTTCCCCTTTGCTCATCTGGTTTGCCTTTCTAAAATGATGCCACTGAAACAGCATTGAAATCATAGTCCTTCCATTTGGGCGATTCACAATCAGTATCCACCCTAAACGGAAACAGCACTGCCAATAAGGTTACATGATACATACTGGCTGCAGTTGGTACTTCTTTTGAATAAGCGACTGTTAAAAAAGTATGTTCTTTACAGTATTAATGTGGTAGTAGTACAACACAGTACAACACAGTACATTTGTCATGTTGTCACTGCCAGAATCGGTTGCGTCTCTTCATTGCCATTCACAACTCCTTTCCACTTGGCCTCGTGGGATAGTATAGTGTCCATTGGATGTACATTCAGAATCTTTCCAGAAATAGTAGGTCAGTAGGACTTTTTGCCTACTGGTTTATGAATGTTTTTCAAATGCTGTCACTGTCTTTGATTGCATTTGGATCTAGTGTGAAATAATGTCTGTCATGAAAGCAAAAAAAAAAAAAAACCATAGCACAACAACAGCCAATCAAGTTATGCAGGATGCAATTTTGGACCAATGAGATTTCTCAGTGGGCAGGGCTACTCTAACAGAAACCAAGCAATCAACTAAATTGTCTGTAAAATTGTGCTTGGTTAGGATGCTAATGAAGTAGTTTTTGGAAAATTATTGAAAATAATTGGAAAGCTTTTGCCAGATTCAACATTTCACCTTAATTTTTCACATCACAATCAGCCAAGAACTTGAATTAGTTCATGCATCCCATTTATCTCACTCCAGTTTACTTGTCATATTAGTACATATGTATAGCATTTCTCAAAAAAGAGATCTGCAGATGTCAGATGTGCTGAATGATTCTAGCGTTGTGAACTGGTGCAAATGGAAAACGTCATAAAATGAGATCATGCAGTGCAATAGTAAAAGTAACATGTCTACAGACTTTATTGTATATATTATATGTCATACATGTACAAATACTCAAGGAAAGACGTGTGACTTTTTCTTTTTACAATTGCCGGCATCATTCTCTAGGATGATGGGGTGTAGTCGTCCACCTACATTAACACAAGTAGAGCAAATGAAAACGACGGATGAATAATTTCACACGTCAGGGCCTGGCACAGCTCGGACTCACTTGCTGGAAAGCGAGATCAACAGAGGTTGTCGTGCCTTGTATAGTCATCAAACCATTTCTTCTCCGTCTGGTTTCTTTAGGTGTTTTCTTCTGTTCCGCAAAGTATCAAAAGGGATCTTGGTCACACTGTGTCAGATGATTATTACTGCAATTGCAAGGACGGCAGGGAGAAATTCCAGCAAGTTGCAGGCTGGTTTTACTCTGGAACAGCAAAATAGCATCAGGAAGCTCAAAATGAGAAGCTTGTTGAACTGAAATTATAAACTCTACAACAGTGGTTCTTAACTTATGGGTCACGACACAAACATGGCTGCAGGTCTGTTGTGGTCAGAAGAAATAAATTAAACTAAATGTTTAGGAAAAAATAAACATGTGATCGTGCAAAGTTATAATACAGTAAAATGTAGGGCTCCACAGTTAATCAAATTACAATTACGGATGCCACAATTATTTAATTGTTCAAAGCTGTAATTCATCGTCCATTTATGTTATTCTGAGTGCTTGTTTTTTCTTTCTACAGGTTATCTTAAGGGTTTTTCCATTGTTTTAATTTTAGTTTTAGTATAACATTATTATACCATGCATATTTTTACTTTTTTAAATTTATTTTTTAAAGAAGAAACCAATCCAATGTATAGTTAACATTTGAGGCTTAATACTATAGAAAAGCAATAAATTATTTTCAGTTTGAGTGTTTTCAGCTTATTTATTTTCATATAAAATTATGGCATGCGGTTGCTTCAAACAATGGTATAAACATCATTCAATGTAAATTGTGATAATTTTAATTAATAATCGCAATTACAATTTCAATGTAATTGAATAATGATTATGAGTTTTGTCATAATCGTGTAGCTCTCGAAAAATGGGCAGGAAGGAAGGGAAGGCAGGCAAAAACAGTTCCCATATCTTTTGTTGTTATGGTCAAAGGCCTTGCAGTTTTGTTGAATGTAGTTTGTGGTGATATGAATGCATTTTTAGCACTGTTTGGTCACGACTTGATGTCCAAAAGCACCACTTGTAAAGCAAAACCTGTTGAAAACCACTGTGCTAGAAGTCAGAGAGGAAACACCTTCAAACTGTCTTCAGTAGGTTTGTAACTGCGGATGTCAACTTGTCAACACCCTACATGAAGCGGCTCGCCCTTTCTTCCCTCACCTGAGCAAGCAAACATGCTGCATTTAACCCTACAAGATGTCACCTGTAGCCTTCACATCATAAAGCAGCATTGGTTGTATCATTCACAGATTTTTACTTAAACACTTTGCAATGAATTTTTCATATGTGGGCCGATAGGACACATTGTGAGGAGTATTCATTTCAAATTCCTCTTCAGGGTATTTGGCTACTCTCATACACCCTCTCAACTGCAATGTTTTGTGACCCTATAATGGACGTTTATGAAAGGATAGGCTGGTTAATAAAGAAAGCAAATATAATTTTGAATAGTGAAATTCCATTCATACAGAACTTGACCAGCCCTTTGAAAGACAGTGAAACACGAAACGATGTCTGCTCATCTCTGAATGATTCACCTGACATCAGACTGAAACAAAAGGACACCTGAACAGGAAATTCTCCATAATAGAGTTGATTTGTTGAATAACATGAATATGAATACACACTGGAAACTGTGCATTTGAGCAACAAGAAAATGTGAACAAAAACCAGCAAACCGTAAAGGATTTTTTTTCCCCAGGCTAATACAAGTTAAGCTCTATACTGCTGCCATGCTGTCAAAAATAATTTTGACTTATATGACACAGAGGACTGAGTAATGACTGCTGACCCCAAACTTATTAATACATACATATATATATATATATATATATATATATATATGTATGTATTAATAAGTTTGGGGTCAGCAGTCATTACTCAGTCCTCTGTGTCATATAAGTCAAAATTATTTTTGACAGCATGGCAGCAGTATAGAGCTTAACTTGTATTAGCCTGGGGAAAAAAAATCCTTTACGGTTTGCTGGTTTTTGTTCACATTTTCTTGTTGCTCAAATGCACAGTTTCCAGTGTGTATTCATATTCATGTTATTCAACAAATCAACTCTATTATGGAGAATTTCCTGTTCAGGTGTCCTTTTGTTTCAGTCTGATGTCAGGTGAATCATTCAGAGATGAGCAGACATCGTTTCGTGTTTCACTGTCTTTCAAAGGGCTGGTCAAGTTCTGTATGAATGGAATTTCACTATTCAAAATTATATTTGCTTTCTTTATTAACCAGCCTATCCTTTCATAAACGTCCATTATATAGAGCATTTAGACTAACTTCTTTAGTATAAAAAATTTCATAATTTGAGCAGTAAAGTTGTTAATCATCTACTTTTCTCTGGATTCAGTCGATTTCTTTCCTACATTTTTTTTCATTGAATATCCTGTTTCAGTCTGAAACATTTGTGAACAGCAGTTTTGTGGCAGTATTTGAGAAACACGCTCCATAGACTTCCAATGTAAGTGCATCACTGTAAATACAATGTCAAAATGATTTTCTGTGGTACTCAACAGCACGCCACAGATGCTGTTTGTAGAGCTTAAGTGTTTTGAACCTGGAACATTTCTGTAACCTCACACACAACAAAAATATTGTTTAGAGCTCCAGACAGCTTTAGTTAGATAACAGAAAGTATCTTGATTACGGAGAACATATCAGGCAGCCTGGCAAAACTGTGCAATAATTCTCACAGTAGTACTTCTTTGTCCCTTCACTCTTTCTCTTGAGAAACACAAGGTTTGGCAAACAAGTTTCTGTAGCTTTCTTTTGGTTGTTTAAGATGCTGTTTTTGACTATTCAGTGTGTGTGTGTGCCCGCGCGCGTCTCGTTTGCAAAATGATGTGTCTGTTTAAAGCTTAATGTACCCAATATTAAATATAGATGATGCTCTTTATTTGCAGTTAAAAAGGTCATTAAGGCTAAAACTGGCTTGTTACTTGAGCATCTGCCAGTTCGGTTTTAAAAAGGCAGTTTCAAATGTTATGAAATCCAAAATAGAGCACATGTTGTCAGATTCATATACAACCACTTAATTGGACTGCACCTACTCAGTTTAAAGGAGCAAAGAGCATAACTACAAAAGTAGTGGTGTAGTTCACATTCATTCAATGAATTTAACCACTGAAGTATTCTTTCTGTATGTTCTCAGATTACAGATTACTTTAACTGTGCCAGATTTGTTGTCAGATAGCCTATATCAGGGTCATTTTACAAGTAATGCCGGTGAAATAAATATCCTAATGTGTTATCACACTTTTTTTAAAAATTCAGATGATTTTTTACCTTACTTTAATGCCTCATTGTCATTCATTATATAGTGCATTATAAGTCATAACAGCATACTTCATTATTTTGTTGAATCTAATTGTATTGAGGAGTTCTTAATGTCCGGTATTGAGTGCAAACATTGTGTGTACTGTGTCCCGACTGTCCCCTACTGGAAAAATGGATTGGATCAGATTGCCAGTTAATTGCTGCCTTTGTACTGCTGGAACAGTAGATGTACTATTTGTACAGCCATTCCCTGTTGTGACACCCCATAGTGCACTGGGTGTGATGCCAATCTCTCAAGTACTGCACTGTAGAGCGGCTCTGTAGTACAGAACACAACCAGATGTGTGCTTGCGTGCATAGACAGCTTTTCTGTCTTTAGTAGAGCGCTAATGGAAATTGATTGTGACTTAATGAGAACGTTCTGATTTGCAGGTGATAGCAAATCAGACCATGGTGTTCACTGTGAATCTGGGTTAAAAGGTTCTCTTCTGCCATGTTTGGACCAGTGATGTTCTGGAGCTGTCTTGGTTAAAAGTTAATATCACTGGACATTCAGATGCTCTAAACAGTTCTTAACAACTGCACCAACTAGACTAAACCAAAAACTGACCTCAAACATCATACACCTTTAAAATGCTGTGCTGTTTTTTGTTTCCTTAAAAAAAAACAAAAAAAAAAAAAACCCTTTTGAGTAGTGATGCACCAAAATGAAAATTCTTGGCTGAAATGTAAAATTCTGGACACACTGGGCAGTAGAAACGCTCATTTTAAATTAGCCTTTGTTTGGAATAATTAAGCAAATTATATATTTATAATTATATTTATTCCTTAATGACTCATGAAACCTGTTTTGGATCAGAGTCGGTTTTCAACATGTACAATTATGATTGTATTATTATTATTATTATTATTATTATATTATAAAAGTACAAAAGTATTATTATTAATGATTTTAATAATAACAACAACAACAACAACAACAACAACTATTATGATGATTAATAAGTAAATAAAAAATAAACTATTACTAGTATTAATCAATATTTTAGTCATTACATTACATTACAAATGTAACGTCATTACAAAACTACTAAAATCACCCCTTTAAGTTATTTCAGAACATATACATAAATATTGAGATGTATGTAGTCAATTTTAAACAAATTTAAAGCACAGTAATAAAACCAAATCTGTACTTTCTACAGGTCAAAGATGAGAAGAAAATCCAGGAGGTGGTGGATCTCACCGACTACGAGAAGTCTGAAGAACTTCGCAAGGCCAAAAGCAGGAGCAAAAAGAATCACAGCAAGTTCACACTTCTGCGTTCACGGCAGCCAGGCAACACGGTCAGTCTCTACAGGAAGTTGGGTTTCACAGCAGAGGATAATAGCTAATGGCTTTAGGTCTCAGCACTAGAGCACTGCTGGGCTGGTTCATTAGTCAGTTTGCAGTCATGCTGTAAGACAGTGATCACCTGTTGCACAACTCAAAGATCTGTGTCGCTTCATACATTCAAACATATTAGAGCAAAAGGAAATTAAACAGGAATAAAAAATGGGTCTTGACTGGTTATTTGTTCATACAGACATTATTCAAACTGCTTCTGTAATCTGAACAGGACAATTCAAGAGTCACACCTGTTTGTAAACACTGTTTTCAATACCAAACACTGACTGTGTGAACACAGCCATTAAGTCTCAAGTCTAAGACGATATTAAACAATAAATCGTACTCCAGCATAGTTGGCACGCCGTTCTCTAAGCACAAACTTGGACCGACCTCTGTAGTCATCCTATCCTGAGTAATTGGCTTTCAGTAAGAATGGCTTAGCTTATTGCTTTCACTAGCACACCACAGGCCGCCACGAATATCCTTCATCCTTTAGACCAAGACAAATAGTACATCTTAACAATTATGTTAA